TATCTAAAGGATTAATTATATCAATGAGTGCAGGCATCAAGGAATAAACCAGGGATGGTCCAGTCGAAGAAGAACAAGAAAGTTACTCAAAATAGTAACGAAGAATTAAAAGAGACTAATGGTGGAGGAAGTGGCATCTCTGAGGATGACTGCAGTGGTTCTCAAGAAATAAATGAAGGGGAAAACTCAGATTGTCTGAAATCAAATGGAAAAGCAAAAACCAGCAGGGGTTCTGCAACTGATCCTCAAAGTCTTTATGCAAGGGTATGTGATAACTTGGCATGATCGGAATAAGGTTATATACATTTTCAATGAGTCATTCAAGGGTTTCTGATACCATTTATCCAATTTTGAAGAAAAGAAGAGAAAGGATTAATGAGAGATTGAAAATCTTGCAGAACCTTGTCCCAAATGGAAAAAAGGTAAAACATTAAACTTATACTAATCAATTCTACCAAATTAATGTTTTGCTCGAATCAAACGAAAACTTCAAATTCCAAAAACTAAGTTTTGAAATGGAATGCATCAGGTTGACATTAGCACAATGCTCGAAGAGGCTGTCCATTATGTAAAGTTTTTACAGGTTCAAATTAAGGTATACCTTTACTTCATCCGAGATATAGGACATGTTAGCTACTTTGTAGTCAACTCTCAACACAAATGGATGATAGAAAAGATTTTAGCTTATTTCTCTGCTTAATCCATTTGCTACTGGGAGAAATTAAAAATTGTGTTTAGAATATAAATCTAATTTACACGTATACATCCATTAAATGTAAATTTTTACTTATTGTTTGCAGTTATTAAGCTCTGACGATCTGTGGATGTATGCTCCTATTGCTTACAATGGCCAGGACATTGGCCTTAATTAGAAGATTCCTCCGACAATATTGGTGCAGCTGCTGCTTAATTATGTACTTAAAAATTAATTTATAGTTGTTCTGACTTGTAATGAATTAAACCAAGATGAAAGCATTTCTCATGTTTCATGTTATAACGAAACCGAGATCCAGAACCAGAAAGGCTTTTGCCTTGTCCAAGATTCGCAAATCTGCTCATGTATTGTATACGTACAAAATGTTAGAAAGAGTTCGGCTCATTCAACTTTTATTGGAATATGGGAATTTCCGAAATCTATTATTTATATGTCGAGAGACCCCCCCCCCCCCC